CTCGGTGACGGGATGTCACGCCACTTATGATGATGAAAATGTTTTTATATAGGTATGCTGATGATTTCCTATTGTCAGCGAAATATGAGAAAACTATTAATCAAAGATCAATGCAACCGATCAAGAAATCAATACAACGATAATGGAATCCAGCAAAGCGCTAAGATAAATAAAAATAATATATATACTTATACCATAAGTATATGGTTAGAATGTACAAAAAAAATGTTAAGAGGTTCAACTAATCATTATAAACAAATGTTGATGTTTATTTTTTTTTAAATGTATTGAGTATTATAATATTCTTTCACTTATAAAATGTTATCACTAATAATATACATTGATGCTATGTTTGATATCAGGGCTTTAATCACAATCTAATATTGTTAGGTATACATATTAAATAAATAACATTTATATATTTATTTGTTCAAGCATTTCCTTTGGCAAATAAAATAAATAATCATTTACGTTCTTGGTTGAGCTGCGATGATACGTTTGAATAAATATATAATTTTAAGTTTCTGGAGTTTACAATAATTGAAAACAGCAACATTCGATTGAAAATGAAGTTGATCAATGGACATATATCGTATATTTCAGTTTCAAAATTAAATAGTTCATACCTATTCATCAGGAATCTGAAAGATAGAATATAGCATACTATTATAATTACTATTGTTTTGACATAAAAGAAAACAGTTAAAAGAATAGCAACAAGCTTTAAAAAAAAAAAAAAAAGTATTCCCTTCAGAATTAATGACGTCACACAATGCAAATTCGTATTTTTTTGGTTATTGACAATAAACTTTATAACTATAAAGTAATAATAATATAGTATAATATTATATAGTAATACCTTCAGGGAATGTTTATGCTTCTAACTTTACTACCAATAGGGTTCCTAGAGCATAAAACGTTAAGCCTTTAGAGATAAGCTTCAACTTATTAGTTTGGTCGATGCAGAAGCGACACGAGTAATAATTTTTTTTTTTATGTTATTAATTAATTTTATTTTCTAAATAAACCTCAGTTAAATGTCATCTATATCAAGACATTGCCATGGTTAGAATTCAAGAAATAGGGCAGTTTCAATTGTGACTGATAAATAATGTGTCAGTATGATTTCTTCTAGAATTTGAGTTCCGTTTTGAATAGAAAATATACTTAGGTGAGATCAACTTAAGGATTTTTTACTTAAGATGTAACATAACACATTTCCTTTCTACCATCTTCACATACGTGAATAAGTTATTACACACTAAGGAACATTCTCGGCGCTTGGAAGAGCGGATCTTAGAATCATATTTCAGAGATTACAAAAAAGTACAGTTGGTGGATAATCGGATGGCGAGAGCACTCCACCTTTGCGAGCGGTGCGGGAGGATTGTTATGCAACAGATGTAAGAGCCCATAAGACACTGTTATCTATTGTTGCCTAGCCCGGATAGCAACAGATGGATCTGGCTCGCTAGCGGTACGGAAGCTGCTTCCGCACCCACACGCACACAAAAAACACCGTTCCTCGACCCAGACACTTTTACTCCTCATCTTTTTTTTTTTTTTCATCCAATAACTTTCGTTTACAGTAACTCTCGCTGAGGGCGCTCGAGAGCAACAAAGGTCCTGTAATTCTATAGGCACGTGGCCCAGCTGCCGGCGGCACCTGGCACCTTATTATAGTGATTGGATCCCCTCCACTTTTTATAGAACACTCATTGAGCCACTGTTTTCATACGGCACATATCAGCTGCGGCAGGTGATAGCAACTAGTTCCTGGTACGTGTTGATAGTGGCTATTTGTCGGGGTCATCAATGCTATCTTGGATTAGTTTGGATCAATAACTATCGGTGATCAATATTGGCGAAGCCGCAGGTATTGGTTTGGTTATCACGTAATCTATCTGAAAACATCATGTCATGTCCGTTCTAATATAAATAAATCAAATTTCATGAAGTTGTGCGAACAAGACATTTAAGAACTTAAAAGCTGAAAGCAAAGGAGGAAGGTCGAAGGAACGAATTCAGGTTGAGGAAAACCATAATAGTTAACAATTACCCAATGAAGCAATAAAATTATCGATTATAACTGGTTCTGTTACATCTGAATCAACCCAAGTAACATGAGACCCTTCTATGGCACACACATTGTTAAGTAATTAAAGAGATTAACCTGGCGGTTGAGTGTGATCTCGGCCACCTCTCTGCTCTACGGTTGACCCTGAAACAGAACTTTCTTACAGAGCATTGAAACCCAGACCTAAGAGTTGTAATGGTATATATATATTTTTTTTATTGGGCCTTAAAAATGATAACCAGATATTTACTAATCGTAAATCAGCAACCAAGATATGGTCCTTATCCGTTGAAAATATAAAGCCAATAATAAAATCTCATACAAAATCATATGTAACTTATTTTTACATATTATACGAATTGGTTCTCATCTCCTAAATGCAGACCATTTATAAATATCTTAGCTTTCAAGACTTGGTGTAATCTACTCTTTATTCTCCGATAAAACTATACTCAGAATAGGACTAGCTTAAGAATAAAACTCTAAGAACCTTTTTAAACTGTATTACAAAATAGTTAATATTTCAAAAGTGAGCCGAATTTTTTATACTTAGTTGATTTATTACGTTCTTCTATAGTAAAACTACGCAACTGATTTCTCAATTGTTCTAGGTTAATGATTTTACATACAATCAATTCAGCAAACTTATCTTTCCAAACTTAAAGTTATTTTGATATATACCAAAATCACCTTATAAAAAAATCAAGTTGAGTTTTTTATACTCATTCCACGTCCGTACCCCAATGTACTTGAATCAGGAAAAAAAAATATATATATATATTTTTTTTTAATTTGTTTGTTTACTTCTAGTTATAGTATATGAGGCTGTCAATAAATAAATTTTCTGGAGTTATTTTTTAATACAAGAAACGATAATAGTCAAAAATTATTATTTAAAAAAAATTATAGTTATAAAATCACAATTATAAAAAATGCTAAGGAATAAAATATTTTTGAAATAATTCTTTCAAAAATCGGGCAACACTTAAATATTGAGATAGTTCCTCAACGAACCTTGAAAATTACTGCATAAAATATTAAAAGGATTTTTCTAGAAGTTTTAAATATGAAATTAGATTTTCGTACTTGGTTTCTTCATGATGCATATTAATTTCCTTCATTCAGGAAGTTCTGAGAATTGTAATTATCTCGTGAGAAAAGAAACACAACTACGATTAAAAAGTTCTGTTAAAAATGCCAGCTTTGTCCCTCCTTTCGTGTTTCTCAATACTCTTAAATTAATTCATATGAAGGTTCATCAACGATATATATATATATATATATATATATATATATATATAATATATATATATATATATATATATATATATATATATATGTAGAGACATCAACAGTCTATAATCAAAGTAATTGCCATGGAAATTCTTAAAGCTTTGAAATAACTATATGTCTTCATATAATAACTATATATAGTCACAAAATCAAATTATGCCACATTTCATCCACTCCAAATGGTTGCTACATCAATAGATGAATTAAGTTGTCACAGTTAAGGACTTAGTTCTTTTTTTTTTATAAAATTTTATTCTAATAGAAACGTGAATCTATTTTCTTTTTTTCTTTTCAATTTTTTTACTTGATTTACATTGAAGATACCCGAACCAATAAATGGTTTTTTCCCGTTGAAAATATGAAGCCAATAATAATATTGCATACAAAATAAAACATAACTTATTTTGCATATTTTTTGGATTGGCTTCCGTCTCTTATCTGCCCATTTATTCTAGACGGCTGTTTTGTTTCCCTTGGCGAAAATTCTTCTGCTAAATTGGAACCGGTATACACTGATTTAAAATCAGAATTTTTATGCCTCGGAATAATACTCAATTCCAATAATACATAATATTTTTATTTAGCAACCAAAAGCTCAAACTAGTATTACTGATGGAGTTAAATGCACCATTGCAATCACATACATTTTCTTAATTGTATAAAAACAATTCACAGATATGAAAGATTCTCAACTTTCTGAAGTGCTGTAAATTTTTAGCATTTCTTGGCTCTTAAAATGAGATGTGCTTTATCTGGTTTATATTATTTTTGTTTCGGAAAATTCTAATTTTTTTTATCCATATTATTTACAACTGTACTAAAGTAAAAATACAAATGGTAATTATAATCGGGGATATTATTATATCTCCGATTATAATTACCATTTGTAGACTTATAGAAAAAGCACCTGTTGGTAGCACTCTAATAAAACTTCTATATTAGAATTTCACGAGACCATTTTCTTTTCTGACGCCTCGGAGGGTTATCTGTGATCAAACAGGAAGCAAGATTACAAACGAGAGCATTCGCGAGATTCTAAATTTTATTATGGAAAGAGAAGTATCTGGATCGGGCTAAATTGTAAACATATCGAACATTAAGGTCGTTTTGGATGATGTTCTTTGTAACAAAGAAGCATTTAGGGTTTTTCGTAAGATTTCTGATTGTAAGGATAGGATACGAGAAGAATTAGATGGTTTAGTGGACCCCTAAATATCATCTAATTAAGTCCAAATAGACCTTATTATATACATGTATATGAATCTTTTGTAATTAATTGGAAGCTTATAGCGTTTGTCTGGTAAGTGCCGAAGTTGCCGAAAACATTTTTATTGTAGTTACAGTCTTATCAGAATTTCAAGATAGATGTTTGTCCAGATCGAGTCTTAGGTATCGGATTTGTTTAATACTGATAAGTAGGATATTATTAAAGGATACTGTAGGACTGAAAGAGAGATACCAATAAACATATGTTTTCCTCTCAATTAATTAATTAATATTTTTATTGCATTGCTGACTGAATTTAGTTCTTCTTTAATTTGTAACCGAAATAACGATAATAAATACAAAATTGTTGAATTAACTAAATTTAACTTATTAACTTTGTAATTGTTGAATAACAGCTAAGGTGTTAGGCAGCTGTCATAGATACCAGCAAGGGGAACAACAGTTTGTCGGTTTCTAATAACTTTTTGGCTTCTCGGCTAACATTCCACTTCTGAAGTTGATCTACACCAGGAAATCTGAAACTGAAACAGTAATAACGTTGCATTATGACATGTTTGAATTAAATATCTTTAATTTTTTATGTTAAAGGAATAATAGTATTATTTGGTTGATTCCAAGTTAAGTTACCATGAAACTAAAAATTACAACTGATTTGTAGTTACTGAATTCGATACCCAATTATAAAAAATCTTTTAAATGGCATTCTGAACCACTCAATGCAATATTACATTAATCGCTTCGATTTTCAATACTCTTGATATTTTAGGGAGAGCATATTTCATATGCAGATCGAAGTGTAATTTCAGTTTAAAAGCCCACCTTAATAATTAACCATTGCATCATATAACTGTACAGTATTGTATTTTCTAAATAAATTTAAAAAAATGCACACTCTAGAATAATGAAATTAAGTCACAAGTACATTTTTCAAATTTCTTGCTTTCTCATTTCGAAAATGAATAACGGAGTTTCTACTAATACATAAACGGATTCTCTAATTTGAAATTAATCAAAAAACTTTTGCATTATGAGACAATTTAGTCAAATTTAAAAAAAAAAAAAGCAATTTAAATCATTGTTCGCGTAAAATCTTGTAATGCTAAATTCAAAAATTCAGTTTTAAAAACAAGTATGTGGCACACTATAGTATAATTATGAAATACGAACCAGAAATCAAAAGACTAAAAGTCTTGGGATTGTTAGTTGGTATAAAAGTACCGTTAAAGATACTCAAAGATTAAAAGAGGTAAAAGATGTATTCAAAATCCACGGTAATCCGATGTTTATTTCCAAACTAATATAGGACCAGGAGCTCAATTTAAAGAGGCACTCCATTCGTAACTTTGTTTTATATATATATATATATATATATATATATATATATATATATATATATATATATATACCGTAAGATCTATCTTTGGGAGACAGTTTTAAGCTGCTTCTATCTTCTACCTAAGTTAATATGCTGAAGAAATTATTAATATGTAAACTCTAGAAACAAGAGTATTTTACTAAAAAAAAATTTTAGTTTGTCCGATTCCTTCTCCATTGATTACTATATATATATATATATATATATATATATATATATATATATATATATATATATATATATATATATTCATCCTACACCAATGTGGATTAATAAACAATTTTTCATTCATAGATTATATAGATAGTTTATTCTAGTTTTCTACGGACGAAAGTTATAATAACAATTTGATATTAATGTTGAAAGGATCAAAAGCCAACTGAATACACTAACAACCTGGGCATTGCTGTGAATTCTTGAGAATGTCTAATGGATAAATTAGCTTGAGTTTTGGAATGTCGTTTGCATATCGATCCAGATGCCTGAAGACCGTTGGCAGCTATAACAATATATCGATCGATACGGTCTTAGCTTGGTTTAGGTCAACTCGAATACTTAAGCAAGATGCATTTACCTGACTCAAGAAACCGTATTTGTTATATGTGTATTTTTTTCATCACAGCACTAACAATATGAAGGCACAGGAGTGCCTTTGATTGGTACGGAGGAAATGATTTTTCAATAATTTTCTTTTCAAAATTTCTTTAAAGTGTAAATAATAGAGAAGTATTTACCAGTTTTTTGTAACCATGTATTCATTTTTGTTTTTAATTTTCAAGTATAGTTTCATATCTTCTTCCTTCCTTATCTTCCGACAAGACGAGATTTATTGTTTAAGAACAATACGATTTTAGTCTTTTGCCTATATTAGTTTTCTGCAGAGAAGGGTTGAGGGAGTTCTTCTTCTTTGAGGATAAGAACGGACATTTTTTTTAGTTTAGCCCACAGTGCCTCAAATGCAGTGCAGTTGGTAATAGTTTCGTACCGTCTAACAGCTCCGTCTGTATTAAATTATGAAACACAACTAAAAAGCTTACTACATTGATTTTCAAGTATTCTATTTGGAATCAAAGCACCGCCCTTTCCGAAAATTACATATCCTGCCATTGAGGACGCATAAAAGAATGGTCAATTTTAGGAAACTTTGACTGCAAAAGCGAGATATTTCGGGAAATTTTTTTTTGTAAATAAATAAATAGAAGTAGAAGATATATTATAGTTTTAGATTCTATTTGCAGAGAGTACGGTTTTTTTTTTTTTAAAATTTCATATGACGTACCACTTATGTTATGGTCGAGCGTGTTAGAGCATTGCCTGCTTTAACATTCAAGCGTCTAGCGGCATCGATTCGAATTTGGGCTGGGCGGGTTGAAATTTATTTCTAGGTGGATCCACGGATCCCTGTTTAGTTGCACATCTATGACTTTCATGCCCTCTTAAATTAATTGATTTGGAAAAAAATTAGTAACAAAAATGAGTTTAATCAGGACACCAGCTCACAGAAATTCAGAAATCTCTTGGGATATTCGGGAGACATGGACGCAGGGAATTCGGTAATATCAAACTTTTAAATTATTAAAAATTATTGCTGTAAAAGATATTTATTGATGAAGCAGTTATGAACACGATATGTTTGCTAGGATCAAGGCGTTGTTTGATTTATATTCATGATTATTATGTATTCGAAATGTTCTCAGTATTTGTTAAACGTACATTCATCCAAAATGTTAGCTCAATTGTGAAATAAAACATTAATATGAGAAAATATTTCAAAGTCAAAATAAGATGTGTGTTTGTAAACACGCATTATGCTAATCCTAAGAATCCTGAGACTCAATAACCTGGAAGCTGTTTGCTGTCAGCGGCCAACCGTAAAGATTTACGACGGGCAGACGAACGGGACCCTAAGACACGTGCCTTGAGTACGTTGACACGTGGCCCAGACAGACTAAGATAGAGCAGTAAGGTGTAGCAGGTAGCTAGGGGACCGCCACGCGAACACACTCCAGCAGATGTTAATCCAGGGGTGAGGGGCGTATTGTCAAATCAGGGGGGGCCGGTGTGCGCACACCTGTGTGCCCCCTCACAAAAGGTAGCCAGCTGCTGCGCATCTGCTCTTCTAGCGTCGTCTTGCGCGCCATTCAGAGTGACGTCATGGTCTTAGGGTGACGTCTTGGTCCATTGAGACGGCTTGGCTACCTGTCTACCTTGCTAACCTTGGCGTAGTCCTTGGCAGGTCTCACTCTTCCACTTCCGTCAGATTTCCCTTTCTTCTTTTGTGAGGCGCAGGTCCTCGGTGGTTAGCTTTATTGCTTCTCCCATTCAAAGGAGGGGTGAGGCTGAGTAGGTCAACTTTACGTCTTCCAATGTTACGTCACGCAATAACTAACTCTTTCTGCATTAGTAGTCTCATAGTCCTTTAGGAAATACAGTAATATATATGATTTTTTTTTTTTACTATTTCCGGACTCTATGGAGCCGGATTTGTGCAGATTTCTAAATCCCTTTTATGTACATATTTTTTTATTTTTAATAAATATTTTTATACAAATATAGAAGCTGTAAAATTATAGCGATTGCTAACACCGATGGTACCAATCCCCGGCGAACTAATGCATAGAAATTGATTTGATTAATAATGTAAATAAAATAATAAAAAAAAAATCAGTTTTTTAGTTTAGTCAGAAAGGAGTTATCCGATACTCAACCTATCCAATTAACAAGAAAATTTTATTGAACTAAGAAGCAAAGGAGGCCAATTTGAATTTATTTTATTAAGTTTCCAGAGGGGAAGAGACCGAGGAAAAGAAGAAGAAGGGTAAGTAAGAGAAGAGCGGAAAGATATTTTAAGTGGGCAATGGATGGAACTCGAGGAATGCCAACTATCCCCTCCCCCCGCCCCTCAGTACTGGGAGAGAGCCTTTGTAAAGGGGTCTGTAGTATGTTTTCCACCCCTTTTCCGCTGTCATTTCCTTTCGTTCTCCCATCGATTCCTCCCTTTTTATTTTATAAAAATTCTTATTTCTTTAAAAATAAAAATAAAATACGATAGCCTTATTTCATTGCAACTGATTTTGGCGTTTCCAAGAAACATAGGGCTTTGTTTTTATAGTGGGTATCTTGATGATTATGTAATTTTTCCCGAAAACTCGAACGTCACTCTTCTCTAACAGTAACTTAAACGCAGAGTACACTAAATCTGTATTCAATGGTGATGTTACACTACTAAACCTTAAAATCGTTTTATAAAAAAATATTAAATATTATTAAGGAAGGAGATGGTCCGGTATGGCGGTCATAAATAGGCTAAATAGTGGCAAAACTATTTTATTAAAAGCCAACGTTTCGACAATACTTTGCAGGTTTTCTTCTGGACTAAACCGGACAACATACAAAAAGATAGAGAATTGTGGAAGTTACATAATATTTAGACAAAACATTATAAACAATGTTAATAAGCTTATTAAAATTATAAACAGTAAGTACATTAAAATATAAACAGAGTAAGCTAAGTAACAAGATCCTAAACTGAAGTAAAAAGATGGTAATAATTGTTGTAATGTAATATATAATATATGCAAATGAATATACTTTTACAGATCTACAGAGAGATTGAAAGAAAAGAAAAAGGATATAATATGAAACAATAGACATAAGGAATGTGGAGATAGAAAAGAAAAAATAAAACCAAAAAATTAAAGAAATAATGCAACTGTCAACTATTAAATATTATTATAAGCCCAGAATACATTTTTTAAATAAAATAATAAAAAAATATTTTATCACTTTTTTAATTACCTACTTCAATTATTATTATAATTGAAATAGGTTATTTAAAATAAGTGTTTTATTTTGGGTGAAAAAAATGACAGTATGAAAACATATTTTAATCAACTAATTTTCCACATGATGACATTTTTCATGAAAAGGACAGTTACTGTAAAAAAAAATGTGAATGTATATTAAAGTTTAATGATGAACATGGGATTCAAATTAAATAAATTTGAACGATTTTTTTTAAAAATAAGTTTACTGAATAATAATACAATCTTCTATATGAAAGGAGGCAGCAAGTATTAGGGTTATGAGTATTCATTCATACATAATATACATATAAAAGCGAAATAAATATAATTTATCATTTAAAATAAAAAATATATAAATAATCTTAAAACACAAAATTTTCGAAAATGGTTCGCCAACGCGAAACGTTAACGAAATAAATAATGGTATTAATAAGCCTTTTGCTCATTATATCTACACTAGTTTATATTGATAAGAAAATAATGTAAAGTAACGAAAATAATATAAAATCAAAATAAATTTGTATATCCTAAATTAAATAATAATATCTTGTAAAATATTGTTTTAAAATAATTTTTAAAAAAATCACACACAATTGTTTTTAATTATGAAAGGTGGTTTCTAGCTAATTTAAAAATAATTAACTTTTTACAGGCTTAGATAAAGTAGAAATAAATATAATGGTTATTTTCAATAGTGTAAGGTATCTGAAGGAAAGGACCATTTTATAAACATCTATTTTTTCTTTATTCTATTTTGGATTATGCCCCACATCAAATTAGTATATTTTTCTTCCCTAAAACCATATAAATGATTTTCCATGATTACCCTTCCAACTTCATTTTATCACTATTCCCGTGGCCATCGAATCTTCTTCCAAAAATGGATAGACTTGTTGCCGCCCCCGGTTGACGCGAACCGCCGACGGAGGGAGTACGCTGGGAAGGAATAAATCAACGGCTAATCTGTTGCTGTTGTTGCAGACTGTTGCTGCATTGTGTTCGGCAGCAGATGCTACAGATTGCCAGGAACCGTTAGGGTCCAACATCGATCCATCGGCTCTGGTTTTATTGCGCACTTCGAGAATTTATTTCTTGCACGTTATTAGGCCGAGAATAAACAAGATATATGCCACCGCCATTACAGTACAATAAAATGCCCATTGCTCAGTGAAATATGTCGGATCCATTAGTCGGACATATTGCCCCATTTAATTGCCAATCATTCAACATATTTTCTGTCCTAGTCTTTTGGTATTTTGCATCGAGAGAAAACATACCAATAAATAAAGTGAGTGATAAGACAAAAAAAAAGGCAGTTGAATTCAATTGGCGAAGTCGATACTTAAGCGACAATCGATTCAGAATTAAATGTCAAATATCCTTCTACCTTAAATATTGAAACAAACCATCTAAAGTGATATTTTATCCTTTAATAATTTCTAACATGTGCTAAAGAGATCTGCACCATACTGATTCATATAGTAATTAATTAAAAGTTAAAATTTTGAATAAGGTTTTATAATAATTAAAGAAACAAAATTTTATTTAAATCAGTTGCAAACATTACATAAAAAAAACCTAAGGTGTGTGCTTAGATCACATGATAGAAATGAAAACATCAACAAGAATAGATTATTATATGAAATATAAATTATAAATAATAGCTCATTATAAATAAAATGAAATGTTGAACATCCTCCCCTCCCCTTCCAGTATGCAGATCCAATTTTTAGTTTTTGAGATATTTTAATCCATATGCAAACATTTTAATTAATCAACTCGAGCCGACCTTAACCGAGCGTCCCACATTGGAGGTCTGACGGTTCAATCTAATTCACTCTCCACAAAAAAAGTGAACATTTGAATATTTCCCTCACTTTCAGTATGCAGGTCCGATTTTTAGTGTCTGAGATATTTTAATCCATATCTTCAATAAAACTCGTTATCATCTAGTTTAGATAGTATTGGTTTCCTTCTCACCTCTCTAGCATGGTGTCTTGTTAAGATACGGTTTTAAATAATATCTCATTATAAAGAGGACCAAATAGCGAACATTTTCCTCGTTTTCATTATGCAAGTCCGATTTATAGTGTCTGAGATATTTTAATCCATATTTTCACTAAAACTCGTTATCGTTTGTTTTTCAACACAATTTTTGCCCTTTCTCTCTCCCTAAAACGGCGTCGCGTTATGACATAATTTCGAATAACACCTCATTACAAAGAGAATGTAATGACGATCATTTCTCTCGCTAACAATATGCAGGTCGGATTTTTAGTTTTTGAGATATTTTAATCCACATGAAAAAAACAGTTTAATTAACCGACTATAGCCGGCTCTACCCGGCGTCTGGCGGCGCAATCTAATTCACTATTCACAAAAAAAGTGCAAAACGCTTTTTGAATTTTTCACTTCAAAAAATGTTTCACTAATTCATAAAATCTTCTAGTGCACCATTTCCAAAATATATCCAATACCATTAATTGCGATCATTCGGTTAGTTCATTCTGAACAATTTCAAATAATCCATTCTGCTTACTTACTTTATTATTTTTCAACTCCCTTACTTACTCCTGGGCGCTATAGTCCGCGTGGGACCTTGGCCATCTCTACAATACGTCGCCACTCGTCTCGGTCCAATGCGACAGACCTCCACCGCCCGACACCAATCAGTCTCAAATCCGCCTCAACATCCTCCAGCCAACGGAGTGGTGGCCTTCCTCTCTTTCTTGCTCCTCTAGGTCGCCCATACAATATTTTCCTCGGCACTCGGTCCGCTGGTATCCTTTCCACATGTCCTAACCATCTTATGCATTCTGCCTTAATGACATTAATGAGATATGTGTTCCTGTAGAGTTGTCGCAACTCCCGATTGTATCGGTACCTTCAAACGTTTTCTTCTTATACAGGCCCGTAAGCCCTCCTGAGAATCTTACGCTCCCACATTCCAAGAGCCCTCTCATGTTTTGCCGGGATAACCCACGTTTCGCTTCCGAATATAACGAACGGATGAATCTTGGTTTTAAAAATTGTCAATCTGGCATTCCTTGATAGTCTTCGAAACCTAAGCAGTCGCTTTATTTAATATTTTTCTAACTTAGATACAAGTAGTAACCACACAGTTAGTACGTTTTTTTTTCTTTTCTTTTGAATAGGTCTGCATTCGTGTTAAACAGATTTGTATGATTAAAATTTACTATTATATATTAACATTTATGAGAGACAATATATTTTTTTAAAAAATGTTGATTTAATAAAAGTTTGTAAAATATGTGTACTTTTCAAAGGTAACAAAGTGGAAAGTACCCAATGAAGACTTTTATGAACTTGACAAA